CCTGCTTGTTACAATTCTTCAAGCTTAAGTCTATGATGCAAATTTGATGGGAAAACAAAGACTTTTGTGGAATGTTTCTGTTCTGCATTCAAACTTTATTCCATTTAAAGGAAATAAATTATTCAAAGTCAATTAGTGATAGGTTGATAAATTTCAGTGAAAAGGAGGATTCAGCTTTGGTTTCTCAATGAATGGACTTAACTTGATTTTACATAATCTAGACTAATTTTTGGTGACATTTAAAACCAGGCTATTCATGAATACTCTAGGGATATCTGAAAATCTATTTTTGTCTCTTATTCTGGACTAAGATGACATTTAGGTTAACCTAAGATTAGACAGACAAAATGTAACTCAACAGCACTTGAAGAATCGAAACCCCTTTTAATTAAATTCAACATAAATACTCGCTAATGTGGCATTTTAAAAACATTTGACGATTGCATAAAAGACCTCATAAAATCACTTGAAAGAGCTGGCCATCCCTTTCCTGTCATTTTTCTAATTAATCAATTTATGTTCATGCTTACACCAGCTATAAATATTTTTTTAACATTTTTGTTCATGCTTCTTCCGACATCAACAAATTGCTATTATGACTGAACTTTCGACCATTGACGACCTGGAATTATAAAACCATATTGCATTTTATGGTCTTAGCTAAATGAATATCTCATGTATTGACTATTTTTCTTCTCTATATGTACATGCTGCATGCTATACAATTGAACTCTTTTTATTTATATTTACTTTCAATTTATACTGTCTGAAACGTTGTTGGACACCACGCTGAGATTAGTCATGAAAAGCTCATTGTGATAATTGTATGAAAGAGGTCTATAAGTCTACCTTAACTCATCTTTCTTCGTTTTGTAGCTTTTTTTGGAGAATCGACTGTGAATTTACATATTGCCAGTTTGAGTGGTATTTTAGTTATAAATTAAATTTTTTTATCAAAAATAATAATGTTGTCAAGAGTTAAGTATATTCATTTAACTTGTGCTACTTATTTCCACTGATTCTACCATAAACATAACAATAGAACAGCTAATTCGATAGGAAAATTTCCAAAAAACTTTTTGAAGTGAAGCCACGTGTTTGCATAGTTCAAAAATGGCTACTACAAATTTTAAAATATTTATATCCGTTAAAATTTTCAAAGCTATAAAATCAAACAACTTAATCAATTCAAAGCGTAAACAATCATTCAAAACAATCTCACGTACTTGATCATTTCGTTTACTTTGTTAATATTATTAAAAGATCTCAACAATTATGTAATTTAAATTGGATATAATCATAAATTAATTTATCCATTTATAACATTACGATCGCATAAAGTTAATGTTCAACATCTATAATCGACATTATAGTGAGAGATACACGTACATATCTATTTCAGGTTAATATTTTCAAGTGTTTTTTTTTACTAAATCACATCATCATCATCAATAGCTGTTGTTTAAGTTAATGGAATTAAAAAATATAGTGAATTGAAAGAAGAGATGGATAAATGGGATGATTGAATTGCTTTACTGGATTGGTTGCTGTTTGAAGGTAGGTTGGTATGCCAAGTAGGTGATTTGAGACACATGAGAAAAGATATGCTAAATTAGTGTCGACTGACTCTTTCAGATGGCATAATAAATATTTTCATAATTCAAATTTAATTCTGCTGCTTTTTTTAGAGATGTAATATTTATTTTTATGCTCATTTTGCATTCAACTTTCAAAAACAACTTTTTTCTGTATTTAATATTGCATCGAATCTAAAGTAAATGAATGAAATAAAGATAGATGAAACAGTTGTAGGAAATTGAATCGATTAAAAATGAATATTTTTTTTTATTGCTGCAGCAACGGAGAATTTTTTCTCATATTCAAATTTTTTTCTTCTTCTTTAATTTACTACAGTCATTACGGTAGATAAGGGGCCGTTCACTTATGACGTCCGGGGGGGGAGGGGGTCAGCAAGAAAAGAACAATAGAAATTCCTGGAAATCAATTGTTCTATTTTGAAAAATGACCGTTTATTTTGGACGTCATAAGTGAACGACCCCTAATAGGCATAGGTAGTAGCGATTTTTTTCGCCACTGAAAGAAATAATAAAAAAAAAGTTTTATCATGAATTTCGACGATGAAATATGAGACGATTATGTGAATTTAAATGTATACCTACAAAACGTTTATTTATCTCTTCATCTACCCATTTGCCATGTGAAATGGATTGTCGGTGGTAATAGTGCTGTGTTATTTTTATTCGCAGGCTTAGCTTACTTACATAAAATTTCTCTTAATTTTTCAGAATTATGCTTTTAACCTCAGCTTTTTAAACAAAATTATCGTAACAAACATTTTGTAATAGAAGTTTATGTAGTAAGCTGTGAAAGTATTTAAATGTTGTGGTCTAGGATGATTTATACTTTATTTTTTTTTTATTTGTAGATTTTTACAGGAAATCTCATCTTGTTTTTGTAATAAAATGTCCAGATTTGAGGTTAAATCCTTTATTTTTTGTAATTTTATCACAAGTATAGGTAGGAGAGCCACTTAGCAAACTATCCAAAAAACAATTATAAATGCCCTAGCATCCTATCATCCACACATAGTCTACATTCAATCAAAACCGATTCATCGAATGAAAACACATCTCCACACTAAAATCCTCTTTTGCATTCTCAATTTTTATGCTACAACATCACTGATTCCATTTTTGATCAGCAAATCTCATGCGATTTATAAGGGGTCGAACACCGATGGGGTTTACAAACTAATTTAACAGTATAATTTTAGATTATTGCCTCGATACTCAAGGCTCAACTGCAGGAAAGATGCTGTGAAGAGGTGCTGTTACGGTTTCAATGAGAATCAGCAAGCTTCGTGAGTCTCAAATTTAATTAACAAGGTAAAGAGTCACTCAGAAATTTTTAAGAACTGCATATCATCCCCATACTTGGTGACTTACTCTACTCAAAAAGTCTAGTAAATTTTGAGAAGATAATAACAACCTAATTATTAAATTAACAGCCAATTTATTCCATCACGTGTGATAATGAGCGCAATTTCCATCTCCTCAAAAACGCTCTCATGTCAAACATGCATGAAAGGAATCAATAAACTGCAATAAACAACAAAATATTTCTTAATTTCATTATCACGTGTGAATGGAAACGAATGAATGATTTACAGCAACAATTTACACAATCGTCAACTCAATGATGATGAGGATGACTAAGAAGAAGTTTATTGTTATTATTATGAGACTTAAATGCCTAATAAAATTGATTGGAATGCGAGAGATAGTGACGATGTATGCGATTGAGACATTTTCAAACTGCCATTAAACTGAATAATGTTCCACCTCAACATGCAACTGAGGTAAGTAGAATTATTTTGAATTCATTGACATATTCCCTTACGAATTCATTTTTTATGTATTTCAAAATGTCATGTCACGACGTATTGCGTTTATATTTACTGTATTTTATTTTATTCCCTGACATACACATTAATTGAATTATTTACAACAAAGGCTGGTATGCTGCAGCACAATTCGTGGGCTTCTCAGTCATTTTTTACTCATAAATTGCATTCACATAAAATGCAATTCACTCGCAATTAGTTATTTCTTTATGTGTCATGAACAGCATTAAAGTTGCTTTTTATGCAGACTACAAAATGTGAGTGTTTAGCTTTTATGAATATGGATGATATTTTTTAAATTGGTTGCATTGTCGTTGAGACTGATATCTGTAATAGAACTGTAATCAGTTACAACAGTAAAAGGAGCAGTGTCGCTGTAATCAGTTGAATTCTGACTCCGATGTGGCATGTAAATTATATAATTCTGTGTGATTGACTACGATAAGCCTCATTGTGTCGTTTCAAGTAGCATTTAAAAACTTTATTGAATTTTTAATACAAACTGCATCTAGTCTTAAGTGGGAATCAAACCTGCACATTTTTTCAACTTTTGGTTTCAAGCTTTCTGAATTGGCTTTTGAGCTTTGCAGAATATTATCTAAAACTATTAGTCTTCTACCAATAGTTATCAATGTCCTAAAATCGTTAAGCATGTGGATCACGAAGCACATCTTAAGAGACGGATTGTCTTAAACTACAATTTAATTTCACATCAACAACTATGTCACCAAAAAAAGCTACAATATATCATTCACAAAAACTGCACTAAATTCCACTCAGCTCCATATATCTTTACTCTAATTTCCATAGCAATTACCACCAAAATTATTTCTGAGCAATTATGCTGTAGACAACGTGTTGAATAAATAAAATTACCGTCATTGCGTTTGTTCACAGATTTTTTATTTTGGGTTCTTTTGTTCCACATCGTGCCATTTTCGTAATCTTTTTCCATGCAGTCTCGAGATGAAATAAATAAATAAACAGCATAGCTCAAAAAAATGTGTAAGACTTCTTCTCATGATTTACCATTAATCAATTAAAGTTCATTTGGCTTATTTCTTATACTTATACATTTGTAGAGCTGTAAATTGCCCATAATTGCAGAGGGATTTGCAACATTTTTTTTTTTTATTATTATGAAAAAAAGAAAGAGAAATAAGCAGACTCGCTGGTATGCCTTTGTATTGTGAATTAAGAACATTTTCACGGCACATAATACACACTGACACTGCAAGAGATAAGCTGAAAGAGCAAGAAGAAAAAAAAGTGAAAATAAATGACTTTAACCATAAAGTCACATGGAATCGGATTACAAAATTCTGCAGTCACTAAGGTACAGAAGAAAAAAAAATATTTCAGTTCCCGTGGAACGACGAGTAAAAAGAATATCATGAGAATTGAAATTCAATTGCACTTCTCGCGCCTAATTCAAGCCATTAAAATGACTTTAATTAAAAAGCCAATTAGCTTTTAATAGTAAGCACAATGTTGAATGTTTGTTAAATTTGTTTTTTTTTCTGTTCGGTCACCGGTTGCAGAAAATGAGAGAGAAATAAAAACAGCATCATCATATTAAGGTCGGTTCCATAATTTTATTGAAATGTTAATTGGATATTACATGGGTTCTTGTATTTTCATTGTCTTGTGATTGGTGTTCAAGCATGTTAATAGCGGGAAAATTTGATTATTTTAACTTTTGGAGTGGTGCATTAAGGATGTTAGGAATGATATATAATCTAATCTACAAAAATCAGGATCTGAATTTGATATTTATAATTTTACCAATCGCAGATGTAGCTCGTTGTTGATTAGGAATAGTTCTTATGTCCTTAGGATTTCCTCAGCTACACTAGGACAAACTAGACTTTACAGCCGAGATAAACGCAAAATACTGACTCCCGACCAACAGTCTTATAGAATATTGGTCATTATAGCTTAATGACTCCCAAGACTGCTTTTTTGTCGATTTTAAATAGTTTATCACTGAATTTTGCAATTTATTAATTTTAATATGGTTAATATCACTAGAACCGACCCATGTTATTATTTTTAATGTCTACACAAAACTAGAATTGAATAATTAAACAAAAATAATTCATTCTTCTTCTTCCGTTGCTGGCTCTGCTTCCTCTGTTTCCTCTGATTTTTTACTTTTCTTGAGCTTCTTGCTGAGAGCTTTCTTTACTTTTTTACCAGCTTTGCCTAATGCATCTTCACTTGTTTCTGATGAACTTGCTTCCGTTGCAGTTTCATCTTCTGTTGAATTTGGTGCTGCTTTTGGTTCAACATCTGAACCACTTTCAGACTTGCCACTGATGAATTTGATGATTTTGTCGCAAGTTTCTTTCATGAATGTTAAAATTTCATCGACAACTCCTGCTGATTTGGCACTTTTACCTTTAGGTTTTGTCTCAGCTGCATCAGCTTCTGGGTTAGCTGTGGTTTCTCCTTCTACTATAGCTGCTTCAGGATCAGCTTTTGCTTCTACTGCTTCTGTAGTCACTTCATCTTCAACTGCATCTTGTGCTTTTGATAATGCTAAATAAATATTCACTTTGTCACTATGGATGTCTTAATTTTTTTCTGTTGTATAATTTACCAGTAATGCTAAGCAACAAGAATCCAAGGAACAAAAACTTTTTGAACATTTTCATTTTATTAAAGGAACTTAATTTTTACTAAACTTTTATCAACGACCTCAAGTCAGAAACTAAATGAATTTTGGAATATAATGTAGATGCTAGAGTATATATTGTCGTGAAGTCGTGACTTGAGTGATAATGAAAAATTGCATTTTTTTAATCTATTTTGCGGTTGAAAAAGAGAAAATTAATTTTTTTTGTGCAAAATTCTTAGGAAATTTTTAATTATAGCTTTTTTATTATTATAGAAAAGGAATTGAGTCAACTTATGACTATCTATAAATTAGTTTATAGATAATGGATTTTGCTACTGGTTTTTAAAATAAGCACAGTAGCTTAATCACAATTCCTTGTGTCATTTTTTCTCGTGTGAAATGAATCATTTTAACAGAAATTTTCCACTTCGTTTTATGGCTCATTTTAAGGTTTTCAAAGTGTAATGAAAACAATAAATTTGCATGATAATAGGATCAGACCGTGTATTTGTTAAAGGTCGAATTAAATATGATGCGGTCATTTATCATAAAACAATTTTGCTTTTCCTGCTGAGATTTCAATAGAAAGAATTTGGGTTTCAACATTGAAATGAATGGGAGGGGGGGGGGGGGGGGGGGGGTCAGCAATAAAAAAACAATAGAAATTCCTGGAAATCCACTGTTCTTTTTTGAAAAATGACCGTTAATTTCGCACGTCATAAGTAAACGACCCCTTACCTGTTTCCGTTACATACTCTATACTCTACTCCGTATATCAATCAAATTAAGTGTCAATCTCAAGTTACTTTAGACAGTTCATATATTGATTTATTTGCAATATTTATTAACAATATGAATTCCTATTTTGAGTTTTAAAGTTCATTAATAGATCAGGTTCAAGCATTTTTAAGGGTAGTGCTGAAATATTATTGAGTCTCATTGCATACCAAAAAAAAAAAAAAATATCAGGACAACTTAAATTGTAGTTAAACTTGAACCTAAAGAACAGCGCTCAAGCCATACAGCCTTCAAAAAGCTACTTAAATTTCCTTTTCCATCAAGAGTCGAGACAGTAGTTCCCACACCTCCCACCAGCTATGCTACACCTTTCTTATGAACAGAAATCAACATGACATTAGTAAAATGCCGTCAAAAATGGTATTTATGTGCTTTTAAATGGAATTTAGACTATCAAAATGGAAAATGAATTGTTACTAAACGGAAAGAAGAAAGCCTGCCTCTCTTTCTCGCTTTCATGCCATCCACTGTTGCAGCATCGATTGACAACACGAAATCGTGCAGAAGATTCTCTCTCTCTAAATATTTAAGACTCTTTATATGAAAATATATGTACAGTCTAATGTCAAGACAACTTCTCATAATTTGAAACTCATGACTCTACGCGACTTGCCAGGCAGCTCACAAACAATCACTTTGCATTTACATCAGACGAACAGTGCAAAAACTACCATCACATAGCGCGCGATTGATGTAACAAAACAACAGCAAAAAATAAAGTTTGGGGAGTCGTTTGGAAGTTACGTTAGGTTGAAAATTGCATTTTTGGATCTTCTTTTTATGGCTGGGGAATCCATAAAGTTAACCTCAAAATGAAAAAGTTGGTCCCAAACCCTTAATGAAGTTTCAGATTGCATTAACCTCAAAAATACTGAACATCATTCATGAATGACCCCCAAAACAAGAAGAGGAATAAAAAAATGGAATTAAAATAAAAATTTATGTATATGAATTTGTTGGCTGTGTTATTATATTATTATATGAGAACTTCTCTAAACAAAACAAAACAAAAAATGCAATGCCAATTAAAGGTTGCTGTTTAAATAAAGAAATAACAGAGCGCGAGATACTGTGCGGCGTTGAAGAAGGCGAGGAATGAGATTATGACAAGTTGAAAGGCTGTTTATGAAGGAAATTTTGAAAGGAAATTTATTAAATAATGTTTGAGATAAATAATTAAATATTTAGATAAAAAGGTATGCGCTCGTCTTTAGGTCGATGATTAATATGTTGGACATTTGATTATGACTTTTCCTTATGTCATTCAAATGGATGTTTATGGATGATTGTATAGGACGGGGATTTTTTATGTTCCATAACTTTTTATTGAAATAAACGCAGTTTATTCAATGAGATAATATTTTATGCTTTATAGTAAGGCTTTGTAAACTGTTTAATTCAGAAAGGAGGAAGTGTTTTAGAAAAGTGAATTAATGTTTGACTAGGAATTGTGCGGTGTATACCAAAATGTATGTAAATTAATGTTCTAAGTTAATACTGAACTTGGTCGTCATCCATCGTCACATTACTGCCATAATTCTAAATTTTGAAAATCAGAGAGCATTACTTCTTATCTAATACATCGATAGGTCAATATTTATTAAACATCCACGCACAGCATGAAGATGTTTAGTCCAATATGTAGCAATATATAAAAATATTTCCATCAAATAAAATCGTGAATCGAGAATGATTCATTAAATCGAAAGGGAAAGTCACATCCAAAAAACATCACTTCACGAAAACAAAATTCATCTTTGTCACATTCCTTCCTTTAAAATTTCATAATAGGCTACGTGCTTTAATGACAGGTTATTAGCATGTCAAGTGATCAAAAATTTATCTACAGTGTCATCTTACAGAAATTAATAATTAAGCGCAAAAATCCCGTCCAATACTGAAATTAATTTAATTAAGTTTTTGAAGGATTTCCACTGCTGGAAAAAGAGTCTTGCATGCTGGCTAATTCTAGAATATTTTTAAGAAACAAAAAAAAAATTATAAAGCCACAAAAGATTCTAAACGAAGATTGATTTATCATGATTTGTAGCTCGTGAGGTCCATTTTAAATCTCAGAATATAATGATTTGAAGCTACTAATGCAATTAAGACACAAAGGCGTAAGACACAATACCAACTATAATTAAAATATCTTTTTTAAGAATTCAACGAGCCATGAAATTGTTACACATGCAGACATCGAGACATAAGAAAATGATTTTGAATTCTCACAAAAAACGACATTGCTTGAGGGGTCATTTGTGAGTGATGTCAACAAAATATGGATTTTTTTTTTGATTTTTTCAATAATTAAGAACTAGGTTAGTGAATCAAGTTTAAATAATAATCAATCCATAGTTTTATGGATGAACAATGGCTCGAGATCTTTAATTAGGTCTAAACTGAGAACCTGAGTATTCAGTTCTGTTGGACATCTTTAGATCGCTCCTAAGCTTTTTTAAATGACCTTGGATAGTATTTGATACTTAGATGTTCTTCAAGTATTTTAAATGACATCTATGAGCGACCTTAGTGATTTTTGTCCTCTCCCGAATGTCTTTTCGCATCCCTCAACGCACTTAAACGCCTATTGATGCACTTTGAGCATCTTAAGTACTCTGTAGATTCCTCTGGATCCCAAGAATATGCTATAAAAATACCTAGGGTACCCTCAAATAAAGCAAGTGTATGACCCCAAGCTCAAACATTTATTTAATAAACTCATTAAAATCTTCCCCTTGGAGATGTGAATGGCTGGAATTTTTAGCAATTTTTAAAGTTTCAGCTTCTCTCCTAACATTTTCACGCGAATCAACGCTATTGTGTATTGGTATTTGCCGATTCTCTAACGACACATTCAGCATAGCTTTTATATTTTTTTTTTCGTATGTTGCATTCGTTTACATCTTCGAGCCTGTGCACACACAATACACTACACAGAGACCTCCGCTTAAACCTTCTTACATTCATTATTTTTTCGTCTTGAGCTCTCAGCTTCAAAAAACTCTTCCTTTCATTTTTATTACATTAAACTTTGAGATCTTTACAATTTCATTTTCATTTCGGCTGCTTTGCGGTAAAGTTGTGCCTCATCTTTCGTCTTCTCGTGAGTTTTGTATCTAAAATATTATTTTTGTGAATTTTTTTTATTTGCAGAATTTTTTTGTTTTTGGTGAATTAAAAAATAAAAAAAAATAAAATAAAAATTAATTTTGTGACAGGAAAAAATTGTGAATTGAAGGAAGAATTATCAAGAATCATAAGTAGAATTATGAATATTTAGTGGAAAATTCTACAACTGAAAAATAATAAAAAATAGTGAATTGGAAAAATTAAAAAATAAATCAAAAAGGTTTAAAAAAAATCTTCATCAAGATGAATATTTTATGGATTGTTCTAATTGTCGGTAAGTAACCTGAACTAATTATATAATAGCATTGCCATTTGGCATCACATAAAAAGTTCTCTTTCTCATCTCATCATGCTATATAACCCATTGACCCGAAACATCTCTAATTTAACGATTTAGTAATGAAATAGAAAATAAAACAAAATTCGATTAGAAATACAAATGAGCATTAATATTGTGCAACTTGAAGCACTTGTTGATGGATCTATAATTGAGATACAATTACCATTAGTGCTCATCAACAAGAATTAGTTTCTTGACTTCCCTCCTTTTGTTATGTCCACATAATCTCATCATCATCAAGAGCAAGTTATTTTGTAATTTAATTTAAATCCACTCCTTTTAATTGTGGAAAATTAATTATAAATGTGGTGTAGATTTGAATGGGTGGATTGATGTAGCTTATTTGCTTAATTCATGCAATTTTTGTGTCATTTGAATTGTAAAATCAGTCAGAAATTTTAAAATTTTCAAAAAAAGTTTTTAAAGTTCTTTCAATTGTGGTTTGAAGTTTAGAGAAAATAGAGAGCGGAGTTAAGCTATTGCCTACTTTTATTACGTTTGTTTTTGCATTATTAACATCCAGCGAGAATTTTTCTAGATATTAATGATGACAATTTACGAAAACTGGATTAGATTTTATAGTAAGCAAAATTAAATTTGTACGACTTGAAGTTGGCTTTAAGTTGGAAATTTTAAAGTTTTCCGTTAATTTTTTAATGCAAAATTGATTCGAGAGAAGTGAAAATCAAGAGTTAACCTATAAAAATTATTTAAAACTGAACATAAGCTGGTAACAATTAATCTCACATCACAAAACTCCTAGTCAACTTCCGAGTTGAACTCCGTCAGTCAAAGTTGAACTTCAAATTTCTCTCTTCAAGCAACTTCAAATTAAAAGGAAATTATGAACATACGATTATCGGAAATAAAACAATTAACCAGAAAGAAATGAAAAGTATTTTTCTACTGCACATGTTGGCTGTAAACTGTAACATGATGATTGCCTTCTTTCAAATATTCAATTGTTTCCACAAGACTAGGGTTTCTGAAGCCGTTAACGAAAAACGGAAATCGGAAAATCTTCAAAAACTTTATGATGCTTTGTTGTGTATTAAGCCGACATCTACAGATGTAGAGCAGAATATTTTCAATCTGCAATAATTTTTGCACAAAGATTCGTTCAAGGCTGGCTGATGCATCACTATCTTTTGCTTTTATAATAAATATAAATAGAAATCTACATATTATCTATATGGGCAATTCCAGTGTGACTGAAGTACGACGGCATGAAGTGTCCAATCACTTTGAAACTTTGCCAGAATTAAGTCCATATTACGTCCAATTGCGTCCAACAAAAAAATAATTGTGTCCTACTTCCTGTGGCTGGATATAGCAGGTTCCATTTTTGGGAATTATGCCGTCGTACTTCAGGTTTTAAAACGGCATCATTTCTAAATATTAACTTTATTTGATATATTATACATCAAAATTGATCTCTTAATTACGTCCAATTGCGTCCTGCAAAAATTTTTGGAATCGGATATAGCCAGCAAGAGTTATGGACTGTCAAAGTTTTGGACAGTACTACTTGTGGACCAATATTTTTTTGCCCAAATCCTATCATGCTATATATCAAAACACGTCTACTTTTCCTCAGCAGCTTAAATCTGATGGAATTATTTAAGTCCAATTTATTTTGGATCTATGGCAGTTCCAGTTCCATCTCATACTTGAATATCACCAAATGTTCAAAAATTGACTAGCGGCATGTTGTATGTATATCAAAAAATATCTTTTTTTTTGTCAGTGTTTCTAATCTGACGGAATTATCTTAGTCCAACCTGTAGTTTTGGACATATGGCAGTTCCAGTGTATTCTAACCTGGACCTGCACATATCGAAAGTTTTACTTTTACCTGTTTAATATATATTTTGACAGAGATTGTTATTACTCCACCAACAAATTTGGAAATTATGGCTAAGGCTATGTGCTACAAAACTACATCTTTAGATTTTCAAATGTTATCATAGTTTTACGGAAAAACAAGAAAATGTGAAAATCAGTCATTTTTTCAGTTTTGGTTCAAATCAATTTTCCGAAAAAACCAGTTGACGAAAAATTATGAAAATAGTGGCAAATTTTAGCTTATTGTGATTTCTATAGATATCAATCATTAGAAAATTTTCCGTAGTGGGAAAATTCTTGGGAAAATTGCAATGAAACAGATTAGAAACACTGACAAAAAATAGATATTTTTAGATATACAACATGTCACTAGTCAATTTTTGAACCTTTGGTGATATTCAAGTATGAGATGGAACTGGAACTGCCATTGGTCCAAAATGAATTAAACTTAAATAATTCCATCAGATTTAAGCTGCTGAGGAAAAGTAGACGTGTTTTGATTTGTAACATGATAGGATTTGAGCAAAAAAAAATTTTGATCCACAAGAAGGACTGTCCAAAACTTTGACAGTCCATAACTCTTGCTGGTTATATCCGATTCCAAAAATTTTTGCAGGACGCAATTGGACGTAATTAAAAGATCAATTTTGATGTATAATATGTCTAATAAAGTTGATTTTTGGAAATGATGCCGTTTTAAAACCTGAAGTACGACGGCATAATTCCCAAAAATGGAACCTGCAATATCCAGCCACAGGAAGTAGGACACAATTATTTTTTTGTTGGACGCAATTGGACGTAATATGGACTTAATTCTGGTAAAGTTTCAAAGTGATTGGACACTTCATGCCGTCGTACTTCAGTTAGAATGAGTTGAATTTCGAAAAAAATAAATTTTTGATCCATGTTCTTTAAAAATTTGATTGCTTCAAAAATAAACTTTAATTAAGCTTACACTTTTTAAAAAAAGATCTTCATTGACTATTAAATTTTAAAAACAAGGTTCTAATCAAAGAAATTATTGTTAATTAAAGTAAAAATTGGTTTTTTAAAAATTATTTCCTCACGGATTTGGCTTAAGCGTTGGTATATTACATTAATTGCATTAAAAATATTCATTTTTCTGTCTATTGAGTGTCTTTCAAGTCAATTTAAGTATGCAGAAGAGGATAGAAAGAACGGTTGACAATAAAGACAACATTAATAGTTGTCTAGACGTCTTTAAAGTGGTAAATTTCTGCTTTCATATTCATAATTCAACATTGTGTAATATACCAACGCTCACAAAAATGTGGAAGTGCCCATATAGTACAGCAATTCTTTATCTTTTGAGGATATGTCATTTATATTTGGTTATTTAAAAAACTTAAAACGGTCCGTTAACGGCCGTTATTGAAAATAAAAAACGGAAAACGGCCGTTTTCGAAAATGCCGTTTTTCAGAAACCCTACACAAGACTATCGCAATCTATCTACATTAAAATTACCAAATATAAAGTTTTGTTTTTCATCTTCTTTTCTGCAAAAAAATACTTCTATGAACGCGAGCCCACCTTACTTCTATACATCTCATTTTCTCACAAATGTATTAGAAAATCAAGTTTGAAAAATTGTTTGCTGCTGTTAGGAAAAAGGTGAATTAAGAAGAATTGAATATACAATTTTTTCATGATGAGTGTAAAATGTTAGATTGCTCGTAGAAGAAACAATTGCCAGACACACAAGCATAAGAAAAGAACAAAAGATCGCATGGCTTTGATGAACTTTGGAAATTTTTATTTGGTTTTTTTGATGCAATTCATCGGCATGGGAACTATTTTTTCCGTTGTGTACCTTCTATTTCCAAAACATTAAGAGATGTGTAAAAAATTACATCATAAGACTTGTAAAAAGAAGGAGAAGTAGTGAATAAAACTCAATAATAAACAGAAATAATTAATAATTATTATTAATTATAAGACCGTGAAAATGAAAATGAGAGTGGATACTTCTAGTTGAGAACTTTGATGCATCAAAATATGGAAATAATAAATATGGTAGATAAGATCAGCTAGCCAGACACGTCAGCCTATTTTTCTCATTCACTGCATACAAGTGGGACAAAATTTATGGTCAATGATTTTCAACAAATAGAGTATCTGCATTTTAAATCTTAATTTGTAGTTTTGTCGAGGTATTTAGGAATAAATGATGAGTATTATGAATGACTGATGCTCATAGGTTAACTTGTATTGGGGGTCTTTAGCAAATATTGTCAACATTCAGTAGGAATCGAACACAAGTATTTATAAAAATAAGGTTTGACCTAAACTGCTCACCGCAGTAGATTTTCTTTTAAACTGGCATATTCTATATCATGTGAGTGAATGTCTAAGTTTCTACAATGCTCCGACAATTTAATGAAAAATATGACAATTTAAATAATGTCGCTTAATTTCTCTAGAGATCTCCAAAATGCTTGATTTATAACCACAAAAATGTCAATCAAAATTTCATAGACCTTAATAAATCTTGACACTTATGACGGTCAATAATTGACAGGAAATCTCAAAATTCTCCATAAGCAACTTTCAAAATTTCCCACAGATTTCTCCGAAAAAACATTGTGCCTCACATGATTATTCCAAAAAATTTCTTAAAGTTCATCGAAAGGTCCTCATCATCAATTGCAGATTAAACACGCGCCTTCAGCAATTCCAACCCAAATCAATTCAATCCATCTTTAAATTCACGAAAATGTTAATTACATATTTTTTTTAAGTAAAGGATGGGTCTAAATGGCAATATATTCAAATATTTTTCAATTCTGATCCTCTCTGTCTGAAGTGAAAGCTGACAATTATGACATAAAAGTGATTGGATATCAGATAGAGATTCACCTTTAAAATTATTTTCACGAAAAATAGTTAAATACTTAATGGCAATAACATGATTTGTCTATTTGGACATGGCGAATTCTTTGTTATTTCGCAAATTCATTTATGTGATGGGATTGGAAACATACAAAAATAAAAGAATTTAAATGACTTTAAATAAGAAGAGCAGTGATGAACCCGGACTTATTTGTTTAGCATTGCTGCATATTATTAA